TTATAGCCTTCCCTGCCCTTCTAAACAGGTCAGTGTTTTAACCAGTACAGCCTTCTTCCTCAACTGTGGTATTGGGAGAGGGAGGGGTGGGTTGTGGCTAAATCAGACTGGGAACTCCTTGCCAAACATTTTCTACTCTCCACCCCAGACAAGGATGGGATCTTCCTCCTGGATGGACTCTCGTCATTTTCCTAAGCTTCATTTATTGAACTTCCTCCCAAGCGACAGACAGCTGGCAGGAATCAGCTCTGTATTACACCTGCCTCTGTCTGTGGCTCCTCCAGAAGAGAGGGAGGATCAGCATCATGCAGGGGAACACTGGTGTATGTGAAAGGAAAGGCTTCCTTGCGCCGCACATCCTTGCTGTGGAACCTCGAGCCCAGCTGTGTCCCTGGCATGAACCCCATGGCTGGTTCAAGGGGACGTCAAATGCTTATTAAACACCAGCCTTGGATGCTGCATTACTCCAGCACAGACTGCCGCTTGCATTGGACTCACCTTATAAATGAAACCCTGACAGCTCTTTCCCTGGTAACGGGGCCTGGCTAATCCATCAGACCAGCATCTCCAGATTAGCTATTGACATCTGCATTAGGGATAAATGACTCGGGGGAGACGGATGAGCAGGGTTCATCCGTCTAGCTCTGACTCCTTGTCTGCCCTTAAGAGTTCGGAGGCTGGAGCACGGGAGTTGTTGTCGAGTGTCCAGGGAAGATTCGTCCCCAGCGCCTGCTCCTTTGAGGATTCAACTCAGAACTTGGGCTGGGGGAGTCCTGGGACCTTGGGAGACAGGCGCACGTTTCCTCCTTGGGGCAGCGACGCCACACCTGTCTCTTGTCCGTGTCGTTCCAAAGGTTCAGTATAAAGCTCTTGGCTTTCATACGTCTGCCCCAGATCCAAACCAGGTTAGAAATGCCTGAAACTCAGTAACATCCGGTGGCTTCTCCGAAATGGGCTGGTGGCTTTTTATCCAGTCGCTGTGGCTGGGCGAGCCCATTGTACAAACCCACAGGGCTGCAGCTGGCACTGAGTGGTAGCCGCAGCAGAAGCCATGGAAAGGGAGCTCACCTCCAAAGCTATTCTCCCCTGGGGGAGAGCGGCGCTGGCCTCTCGGATGGCAGGCAGGTGTTACCCGTCTACCTCGCCAGGGACACGGCAGCGGGGAGCAATTCCTCCCTGTCTTCTAAACAACCAGCTCCAACACCTGGTTTGAATGAAAGCTGAGCGAGCCGCTGCCATTCGGGGCAGCCCGAAGCGTCGGCTGAGCAGGGAAAGTCCCCTTATTCAAATCCCAGGTGCCCTTCGCTGACTAGTACCTACAATGTGGTATAGTCACGGTGATGTGCCGCCCCAAATGGAGACGGCCAACACAGGACTTTGTCGTGGCACAGGAAGGTCGGAAAGGAGCTGCTCTCTGTCTGGCCCCCCGCTTGACACTGGTGTCCCTCGCCTCTGTTTGTCAGAGGATGCAGACGGATGGCAGGAGAGAGATCAGTTGATTATTAGCTAGTAGGTTCACTCCCTCTGGGGAACCTGGCATTGGCCACTGTCAGTAGACAGGATACGGGGCTGGATGGACCTTGCGGTCTGACCCAGTCTGGCCGTTCTTATGCTGTATCTCGTCTGACTTTCTTTGGGCAGGCACTTGGGGCCTATCGCCTCCAGCGTATTTAGGTTCCGAACTTCCAGTGAAATCAATGGAAATTAGGAGCCTAAATATCTTAGAGGATTTGAGCCTCGACGTCTAAAGTCATCCCGAAGCGACCCAATCTGACAGTTTTCACCCCCAGACTACTACTACTGAGATCTCTAGCTGGACCAGAGAGACCACCGCCCACCGGCTGTCAATCACAATGTTTGCTGGAATGTGCTTAAATACCGCGGTGAAGGAGAGAGTAGAAAGTGTGTGGGGAGGAGTTTTGCAATCAGTTATTGAGCATGTGGCATTCAACAGCAAGTGGGTTGGAAGAGAAAAGGGAGGGGGAAGGGAAGGGAAGAGAGAAAGAACTAAGATCAAACTCCAGGGACCCTTTAGGAGTTGGCACCATGGAATGGAAAAAATACTTCCCCTCGAGGAGAGGCCATCAGCAAACGCAGCCCCACGGCTCTGCGCCTCTGACTCTTTACATACCGCGTCACTTATCTCCACTGTCCTTTCGCCTCCTTAATATCCCATTGCACCGAGGCTAGCGGACTGCAGGCTAAATGATCGCTGGGTTTGCCTTCGCTAACGAGCTGCAAGTGGAAGTGAAAAGCACAGTAATGAAGCTTGCAGATGCTGCGAAACACAGCACAGTTAGTACCGGCGCAGGCATTCACACAACAGAGACGCCGAGAGCACTTAGGAGCCTGGGCAGAAAAGAGAGAAATGTCTCTACCTGGTGGAATGTACCAGTCAATAGGGGACAGAGCTGGTGATCGGTAATGCGGACGGAGAGGTACTGCAGAGGTGGACAGTGAATTTGTTTTGCTCTTGTATCCTACTGAAGACGGAGGTCTCTGGGTACGTCTACACTGCAGTTAGCCATGTGCCTGCGAGAGCGGCGAGACAGACCTGCATTAGCTTTGCTCGAGCTAGCATGCTAAGAAATGGCAGAGTGGATGGAGCGGCTCTGGCAGAGGCTTGGGCTAGCACAGGGGTCGGCAACCTTTCAGAAGTGGTGGGCCGAGTCTTCATTTATTCACTTTAATTTAAGGTTTCGCGTGCTGGTAATACATGTTAACGTTTTTTTAGAAGGTCTCTCTATAAGTCTATTTTATATAACTAAACTATTGTTGTATGTAAAGTAAAGAAGGTTTTCAAAATGTTTAAGAAGCTTCTTTTAAAATTACATTAAAATGCTGATCTTACGCCACCAGCCTGCTCACCCCGCTGGGTGGGGGGTTCAGGGCAGAAGGCTGGGTGTTGGGGGGGGACTCG